AACAGACACACATTCATAATAAAGGTTTTTGGGTTAGATCGCGTTATTTATAAATGTGTCGTAACCCTCCACCACCCGACACGGCCAATCAGCAAAAAAAAAGTGTCACGTTGACAAAAGACAAATAATTCACTACTTTAGCCCACCGGTGTGTTGAAGAGTGAATCCACAACATTTACAGATTGAGTACGACGTTTCGCTGGTCATTACATCCAGCATCATCGGGCAATTCGCCAGAATGGTAAAGCCCTCGCTTGCTCCCGGTTTTAAATAGAGCAGCAGGGTGACGTCATCATTTAACTCATTTCAGGTGCAGTGATTAGAGGCGGAGGGGGGGTATTGTAATTATATAATCGATTAGTAATCAGTCAATGGTTATGATTAGTAATGAGTTGTAGATTAGTAATTAGTTGTAATGTGTGTTAGTGATTATATGCTATGTTAGTAATCCGTTAATTAGTATGTGTTTCCCCTATAAGGAATTGTAATGTGTATTATTTAATAATAGCACTAAGCCTGTAGCTGTCAGAGCGATTAAAGTTATTTTTATTCCTCTCAATTTCAATGGATTATCTAATTAGTCTTTGCCAGTAACAATTAGTTTTACACAACACTTCAACGTTATCAAAATCAATTGAGTGTCCTTGTTGACAAGCATGTTCTGCCACTGCCGACAGTTGTGTTTGAGATAATTTAATATTTCTCTGATGTTGTTTTAGTCTTACGCTGTTACGTCCCGTCTGTCCAATATAGCAGCTGCCACATAAACAATTAATCCGATATACACCTTCTGTTGATAATTTAGGTAATGCGTCTTTAGTGCAAGATACTAGTTTTGAATTTTGTGTACTGTACCAAATCTTACTGTAATGTTTTGCTTTTGCAAAACACAGGCTAATTTGTCGCGAAAGCCTACGTGTTAAACAGACACACATTCACAAATTTCCCTTTTATATAGACTATCATTAATCCTACCCGGCTTCGCCCGGGACTTGGATTCACCACGCCCGGCCGCCTTTGTCCCCCCAGTGGCGATGGTCACACACCACACGAGTTACTCGTTTGAGGCTGAGTCGACCTAGGGGAGGCCCAGGACCTGTTGAGTGGGAATCGAACTCGGGACGCCGGGTTCGTAGCACAGTGCGCTAACCACTACACTATTGCTCCCCCCGCACACACACGCGCGCTTCCATAGGTACACATACACGTGCTTGCAGCAGACACACAACTTTCAGGGTGCGTACAGCAGTAAACGACTGAAATAATAAAGCAATGTTGCGCGAAGAACGCCTTAGACCTGCAACACATTTGTATGGCACTGTACCCGCGGAGGGTTGTGGGGGGGGTGCGTGACATATTTGTTTGTTGTAGTACAGAGTTAGACTGGTAACTTTAATCTAAATTGTCTTATGATTGTTATTGTTTGACTTGCATCCCACTGGGATTTTTGCACACAGCATTGATATACGGTGCTTTTTCTGGAAGATTTTGCTGCTTTTTTCTGGATTTTTCTGTTTGTGCGTAGTCACTTTAAGATGTTTCTTGTTCATGCTCTTGTTTGTTGCGGTTGTACCCGATTCAAGAGCCGAATGGCTCACAGGGCTCTACCAAATAAATGAAACTAAAAACTGAAACATCAGCAGGCACAGTTACGCTTCCGCATACAGGTCACATGACAGATTTGACGTCACAGCTCACTTGCCGTGCAAATTGTATGCATTATTGCGACCCCCCCCCAAAAAAAATATATACAAAAGTCTATTTTTAAAAAATTTGCATGGTGTACAGTCTGGAAAGTATCCACATGGCAAATTTCAAGTTTGTTGCATGTCGGGAAGTACGCTAAACATTTTGAACAGACATACATATTCACACATTTCCCTTTAATAAATATATAGATACAGCATTTGTGCATTCGATTTCACCGTGAATACCCCCTCCACTCTACGGCACCGCGGTTTCAATTCGAGACTAATCAAGACATAGTCCTTACTGCGGCGCTCACGATCGTGGCATGGGACCAAACTCATTTGAGAGCCTCGCGCCATAAAGTTAACAAGTTCTGAGAAGAAACACACACATAGTCACATCAGTTTCAGTTTTTTTCAGTTTCATTTATTAGGTATAGCCCTGTGAGCCATTCGGCTCTTGAATCGGGTGCAACCGCAACAAACAAAAAAACAAAAACATGAACAAGAAAACATTTTAAGTGACTGTGACTGTGCAAACAGAAAATCCAGGAAAAAAACAGCAAAATATTCCTGAAAAAGCACCATACACCAACGCTGTGTGCAAAAATCCCAGTGGGATGCAAGTCAAACAACAACAACCACAAGACAACTTAGATTAAGGCCATCAGTCTAACTCCGTACTACAAAAAACAAACATGGCCAAACCAAAAAACGTTTTCGACATCACCAAAATAAAGCCATAAAAGCAATGTAACAGTGATCATAGGAACTGACTGCATTTTCACAATAAACGACATAAACAACATGTAACACCAAACCCGAGAGCCATAGCTGGCTACATGAGTCACTCCACAATAACAGGAGCATCAGTCGGAGTATTAAATTTTTCAATGCACCTTTAAGATCAGCACACTAAATCAAAATACAAATACTTTGCAGCGGTCATCCGGAGCGAACATTTTTATTTTATTTTAGGCCACTAAATAGCAGTGGCAGCTAGAGGTGTACAATTCCTCTAGAGCAGTTTTGAGTGAAGATCTTATAGGTAAAATTTTGATTTAAAGCTTTATATATATAGATATATACCTATATATATACCTATATATATCTCATAGGTAGTGATTCAAGATGCAGTTTATTGGCAATAGCATTCCAGACCCTGGAGGCATCAATAGCAAAGGCCCTGCCTCCAGTTTTTGTACGGCAATCGGGAATGTGAAGCTGGTAAATGAGCGAAGACCTGAGATCCAGCAGGTAATCTGCGGATTGTTTTGTAAGTACATCGTGAATAAAGAAAATCTGGTGCACAAGCCGTCGAACATTAAGAGATGTTAAGTTTGACCCAATGTAGAGATCACAGTGGTGAGTCCTATATGGGCAGTTCAAATCTTAAGGCCGAGTGATAGATGGAATCAAGCTTCTTCAGTACAGTACTTGGGGCTGATTTATACATGATGTCACAGTAATCAAGTAGAGGCAGTATGGTAGCTTTTATCAATTCCAAACGGAACATGGGGGGAAGCAGTGCTTATGTCTATACAGAAAACCAATTTTTATGTTTGTCTTTTTACCAATATAATCAATGTGATCTTCAAAATTCAGTTTTGAATCCAGGATGACCCCAAGATACTTATAGATCTTGACTTGCTCTATTTGATAATTATTTAAGGAATGTAATTGGGGGAAAATAACTTCCTGCTTTAGTCCTAGTGAGAAGCATAGCACCTTGGTTTTGGAGGTATTCAGGACTAGTTTAAGAGCAACTAGCTGATGTTGTAGTTTGTTGAAATCACCCTGGAGCTTAGCAATCACGTCATCTGGAGAGTGGCCAGCAGTAATCAGTATCGTGTCATCTGCAAAAAGATTTACCCTGGAATGATCCAGGTCAGTGCCCAAGTCATTGACATAAAGAGAGAACAAGAGGGGGCCGAGGATGGAACCCTGTGGAACCCCTTTTGTTATCTTAACACTGACCTCCAACCATCTGTGAATACAGTTTGGGTGCGAGAAAAGAGGTAATTTTTAACCATTTTACTGCGTTTTCGGAAAAACCGAGGCAACTTAGTTTACTAAGCAGGGTGTTGTGGTCTACTGTATCAAAAGCTTTGGACAGGCCAAGAAAAAGACAGGCACAGTACTGCTTATTATCAAGGCTATTGTAAGTGTGATTCAGAGAGTCTAATGCAGCAGATGTGGTGCTGTAATTTTTTCCGGAACCCAGATTGTTTTAGATGTAGTAGATTGTTGGTGGACAGGAAATTGCTAATTTGGTAGTTCAATAATTTTTCAAAAATTTTCATCAACGGGGACAAAATTTATATAGGTCGGTAGGAATACAACGGTCACACGAGGACGTATGTCCGCTCCATTAAAAATAACTATCTTAAAGTTTGTAAATACAAAAAAACGCGTAAAAAATGTATCACATGATTGGCTACGGACAGTGTGAAAGAAGTCCAACATACATACACACAAACGTGTCAAGCCACACTCTTATCAGTGTTCTTTTGGGCCTTAATAGGTGCTCGAAGACAACATTTGCCCAAACAAGTGTGTACAATTATACGAAGGGCGGGGGATATTTGGTGTTGAATCTACGTGCGTGTAATATCCGCCAGCTGACATTACGGATTGCCGTCAAAAACAACAACAAAAATAAACACTACGTGTGTCATTAACACTGCTGGGTAAGGGAAGATATACATACCTACTTCAGAGCAGAGTTATGGGAGGACAGGAAAATTGTCTTGGAGTTTTAAGACAGTTCATACATTTTAGGGGCGTCGTCGTGTACGTACCAGTGTGTGTGTGTACTAGTGTGCGTGTTGGTCGTTGTCTGTGTGTCTATCGCTGGGGGTGCATGTATGTGCGTGCGATACCGGTGTTTGTGTGTACTGGTGTGAGTTTATATTCAGGCGGACGTGCCTGTCTATATGTGTGTAACGTTGTGAGTGTATGTAGCAGTGTGTGCATCAGTGTGTGTGTGAACTTGTGTGTTTGTACCTGTCTCTATGTACTTGTGTGTACCATTGAGAGTGTGTACTAGTCTGTGTAACGGTGTGTGTGTGTGCCAGTCTGTGCGTGCGTGTACCGTGTGTGCCGTACCGGCCTTTTAGGTGTTCGCTAACAGTACTTGCCCCCAACAGTCTGTTATAATCCATACCGGGGGATCTTTTGTGTGTGGCTTCTGTATGCGCGCGCGTGTACATCCAGCGAGCGTGTACGTGCCGATGGTGGGAATTGTGCGTACCAATGTTGCGTGAGTATACCCGTGCCGTGTTATAATACCGGTGTGCGTGTTGTCCATACCAATCCCGACGTGAGCGTCCCCGTGCATGAAGAGAGCAGCGAGGCAGAGCGCGACGTGAGCGCGCATGGCGAGGAGGAGGAGGAGGTGGAGGAGAAGGTGGAAGAGGTGGCTTTGCCGGTGCCGATGTCCCGAGTGCCCGGGACCTGCCGCTCTTTGCTCCGCGCTCTATGACCCGCGATGCTACCGCGCCGCGTCTGGCGCTCTGCCCGCCGCCCTTTGAAGGCTACGCTCGGGGACCTGCCCCCCTCTCTCTCTCCCCGTTCCTGGTGTGTGTGTGTATCTGTTTCGTCTGTGTGCGTCTCTCCCCCCCCTACCCACTCCCTCGCTCTCTGTGCGTGTCTCTGAGAACAAATAAGAGTTGCCCGCCAGCCACCCCCCGGTCGCCTGCCTTGAAAGTGCTGGGTGGTGTGCACCAGGGGTAGTGATGGGGAGGTGTGTTGCCGTGCACTGCTCACGAAACGCGTAGGCTGCGTGGAAATGTGGATTATTCCCGTTGAAAACACGAATAAGCGACTCACAATGGTATGCGTGGACGTGCTTGTGGGGAAATCGGTCACATTGTTGACAGATTTGGATCGCTACTTTTTATTGATTTCCACTGCCGCATACTCCTTAGCCGAATTGCTCTCACGGTCAGGTAGTAAATAGTCTGAAATGAAATGTCACCTGAATTGTATCTTCTTATCCACTTTTGCAAATACTGTACCGCACGTGTTTGCATGTGCTCTTTTTTATTCTAGTGCAAAGAAAAAACGTGTTATAATCTTTACCACAGTGTTTATAATACAATTTTACGACGTCGCATTAGTGACTATAAAACAACCGAATATACAAATCTTGACTTAAAGTTTTCGTGACTGCAGTGATTCATATTCTTTGGATCTTTCGATAAAGCCACGTAGATAGAAAAAAATAATAACAATATCACGACGTTTCGATCGCAACACAAGCAATCGTCATCAGGTGAAAAAATATAGCGGGAGAGCTGCTGAGGCAGGAAAAAATAAAAAAAAATTGTTATATATTTGCTTTTTTTTCTATCTGCGTGGCTTTACCGAAAGACCCAAAGAATATGAACCGAATGTACGTTTTCTTAAACCAATTAAGTTATTCGCGCCGGGGAAATTGTTTACACACGACAAATCAATTTGCTGGAACGAGTTGTGTGCGTTATTGTGTCACTATCTCGCATAAGCAGTTATCATTTCTGAGAAAGGCGTGGTTGAATTACACTCGTGTCACGTTTTATAATACAACACCCTAACTGTAAGAGTTAGAGGTCTCATACTCTTTGGTTTTATTCGATAAAGTCACGTAGATAAAATAAAACAAAATAAAAGAAACAATTAAATCACGACGTTTCGGAGGCAACACAAGCTTCCTTCTTCAGGTGGAATAGTCAACGAAGAATATCTGTGTCAGGAGCACAGTTCAGAGACGATCGACTGTGCTCCTGACACAGATATTCTGCGTTGACTATTCCACCTGAAGAAGGAAGCTTGTGTTGCCTCCGAAACGTCGTGATTTAATTGTTTCTTTTATTTTGTTTTAGTTTATCTACGTGACTTTACCGAATAACACCAAAGAGTTATGAATCCTTGCAGTCACGAAAGGTTCATATCTAGAAGTTATATGTCTGCTCCGGGGTGGGGAAGAAGGCGCGCTACACACACACCTGCACCCCCGCTAGTGCGTTATGCGGTCATACATTACGTGTTCGCGTGCTATTGCAGACACTCTTGTTTCCCATTATACGAGCAGCTGAGATACAAGCGAGAGGGAATCCCCGACGTGTGCCTCGTGCAAAGGCGTGATGAAGCAGGCGAAAGACAGATTGACGAGCCGTGCTCGCCAGCAGGCGGCACAGGCAAGCACACGGCCCCGCGCGTCAGTAGCGTGGACAGCGCTCGTGTCATGAAGGCAAAGGAATGGTCGCGCACTGGCAGTCAGGCTCATGCACGCACTCGTCCATAGCTCTAATCCCATAATTATGCGTCTACTGAGTGGTATGCGCGCACACAGCAAGACAAGCACAACTATCCCCCATATAAACTTTATTTGAAGCTTTCATGACTGCAGGAATTACTCTTTGGTTCTTTCGGTGAAGTCACGTAGAAAGAAAATAATTAAATAATAGAATACGACGTTTCAATTGCAACATAAGAAATCGTCATCAGGTAGAAAGCAAACCTAGTGAAATTAGAAATATAATGCAATTCAACACAGAGAGACGGCTAACACAACAGTCAACACCCTACCTGGTTCATTACGTTCTTCCAAAGATTGCTAAATTTGAGAGAGAGAGACAAAACACAGACACGGGGACACACAGACAGACACACAAGCAGAGAAAGACAACACAGAGACACAATTAGTAGTAACTAATTGGAACCCATAATGTTCCAATTAGTTACTACCTCAGCAAACCGGTGGGTTGGAGAGTAAACCCAAACCTTACTAATCAGCTGTGTTGGGTGGTGATGGCTTAACCATACATTTATATTTACACGATCTAACCCCAAAAAAACCTTTAATATGAATAATATTGGTCGCGAAAGTCAACGTGTTAAATTAACATTGCCCGTGACCACACATTAGCCTGGCCAACTACACAAGCAGAGCGAGTAAAAGACATTGTAATCAAAGCACATTCTAAATAAGTGTTATTTCTTGAAAACATTAAACCAGAAGATGTGAAGTTTGCTTTACTCTTTCCTCTGTGTTTTCTGTGGTGACTCCCTGCGATGTTCAGACACTGATGCTTCAAAGTGAGCAGCAGCAATGGTTGTATACAAGAACACAGTATATGGACACGTCATTGAAAAGGAGAGCTGTGTGATGCCACAGCAACGAAGCAGTTCTGCCGGCGCTGCTCCCCCCTCGCAACCCCTGACACGAACGCACACACGTACCCCCACGTAGGACCTCGTGGGAGGGTCCCTCGGCAACTGGGTTTTCACCCGAGAGCCCCCCCCTCGTGGGGAGGTCTCACGGTTTCCCAGCGCTGAGGAATTGGCGGACCGTCCGCCAGGTCGAATGGCACTGCCGCGCCTTCAATTAACTCAAAAATGTACGGCCACGACGAGCCCACTAAGCAACCGCCGTGAGGATACACCCCGCACAGGGGAAGGGAGCCGAGCTTCCAGCGAGTAGCGGGGGCGCGGTAGTAGGCGCGCGGTAGTGGGGGTGGGGAGCAAGCGGGAAAAGAGACAGTAGACTATGAAGCACGCAGAGAAGTGTCCGGATTGGCTGAGAAGGCCCCCCAGCATAGCTGGGGAGCTCTTTGATGTAGGACGGGATAAAAGCCATGTAGAAGAGCACCATAGGGATTCTCATCCAGTCAGCGATCGGGGCAGTGAACTTTCCGGCCACTCGAGCGTCCGAGTGACGCGTCGCAGCGTAGCCAGGACCCGTCCCCAGTAGGAACTTCATGCGGCCTCGCTCATCCCCGACTCCCCCGCGCGTCCGGGCAGAACCGTGAGTACGTGAGAGAGAGGAGAGGTAGCGTAGGGACTTACCGAGGGATTTAAAACAAATAGGGGAAACGCTGCTCGCTGGGTGATTCTGGCTCCGAGACAGGTAGTGGGTAATTACAGTCACGTCAGAAATAAATACTAGTATAAAATACCAACGTGTGGTTCCTGTGGGTGTGGAGAGAGCGTGGGGTGGTGTTGAGCACGCGCATAAGTGTGATGATCGGCGCGCATTCATTGATAAACGATCATGGACGTTCGGTGCAGGCGTGAGTAACGGGTGAAATACGCAAGGCAGCTTCGATTCGATCGCCGTTGCGTTTGCGCCACGCTAACCACGCGCGTTTGCACAACGCTTTGACGTGTGAGTGTCGTCGGTAATCGCTTGCCATTGTGCCCGGGTTTTGCGCGCGAATCCTGCCGACTAGACCCGAATCCCATCGACGTTCCTCCATCGTTGTACCTGGGTTGTGCACGTGAATACGGCCGACGTTCATTCGTCGTTGTGCCCGGGTTTTGCATCCCGCCGACGTTCATCGACCATCGTGCCCGGATGTTGCGCGCAAATCCTGTCGACATTCCTTCATCATTGTCCGGTGCTTGAGCGCAGGGGCTTATTTACTCCGCGCGTTTTATGCAGTAGGTCTTTGTGGCGATGTTCACCTTAAGGGTGTCGGCGGGTGCGAAATTCAAGCACGTGATGGTGGTGGTTGTTATGGTGGTGGTGGTTGTACTGCTGGTGATGCTGATGCTGCACCGCAGCCGTGCATATTCGCACGGCTATTTTTAGCGCGTGCACGAGTGTGGGCAGCATCGTGTACGGGCAGGCACTTGTAGGGAGTCCGCTCCTAACATTTGGGGGAGTGTATGCGGGGAGTGTATGGATAACCCCAGGTGGCCGAGTGCCAGCTACGAGTCATGCCTCACAGGGAGGACGCGGAGGCGGCGAGGCCGAAGACTCGAGCGGCAGTGGCGTGGAGGGAGGAAGGGGAGGAGGGAGGGGGAGAGGAGTCGGGGAGCAGCAGCCCCCACAGCTGCATAGCCCGCACACTTTCTGAAAGTTTGATCCTCATAATTGACTTCTAAACGTCACCTTTGCTGTTCGGACCTTGATTGGATTTTTGTTTTACTTGTGCATATACCAATTTGGTTCTCAAGGCCGTTGCCATTTTTACAAAATCTTAAAATTCCTTGCAGCATATTAGCCACTAGCGGTAAGTACCCGGCGTTGTCCGGGCGAAAAAGACAGACACAGACATCGACGTACACACACTTCCTATGTACATGAGTTTAGTGGAAGAAGCAAGGAACAGAAATATTATTTGTCCGCACACAAACATTATGATTGTGATATTTGCAAGATGATTATTTAAAAGATAGGTTTCTATCAACGTGATTTGACACAAAAAAAATGACTGCAGAGCAAGTTATTAATAAATTATTACTTGTGAGCACACAAACGAAAATATGTGAATATTTTGAAGGTGATTATAAAAATGTCAGGTTTCTGTGCACAAGAGTTGAGCGAAAGAAGTAAGGAATCTAAAAATGAGTTGTCTGCACGCAAACATTATTAATGTACATTGACTGTGTCTTTTGGTAAAGTCACGTAGATCGAAAAATAATGAAAAGTGTAAAAAATATCACACAATACCATTCAACAACAACAACCGCCATTCGGCACTAAGTGGCGGTGACGTCACCACGACGCTTGTGGCAGGTGATGTGCACCTTGAGGCCACGTGAAGTGTCGAACGCCGCTGGCAGGTGACGGGGCAGACTCAGATATCACGGGTCGACTGACTGAGACGACTGGCTGGTGCACCACCTGTGCCCCCTACTGTGCCAACTTGCTGTGCTTTAGCCACACAGCGCTCGGCTCGTTGTTGTGAGCGTCGCTCCTCCGCCCCCCGTTGTTGTTGGAGGACAACTGCCTCCAACTGGCCAGTAGCGTCCTT